CTCTGTTAATCTAATCCCCCGTGATCTCAACCGACCGCTCTCCACGTCAGCCGCGCAGAGCTTCTTTCGCGCCATCTATCCCGTACATGTAGCACGGCTCGTGCCTATATATACGTCCCTCTCCATTTCTCCGTGACCCGAATCTATCAATGGCGCGAAGCATGGACATGGTGCCGCTGCTGCTTCTGTGCATGGCCGCGGCCATGGAGGGCGCGGCGGCGCTGCACCTGTGCGTGGACCGGCTGTACGACAGCACGCAGGGCAAGCACGACGACGGCCTGCCCCACCTGAACCCGACGGAGGAGGCGACCTGGATGGCGCTCCTGCCGCGCAAGCTCGGCGCCAAGGCCGAGTTCGACTGGCTCGCGCTCTACCGGAGCCTCACGCGCGGCGCCGGCGGCGCCCCTGCGGAGTTCCTCTCCCAGGCGTCCCTGCACGACGTCCGCCTCGCCCCCGGCTCCATGTACTGGCAGGGCCAGCAGACCAACCTCGAGTACCTCCTCTACCTCGACCCCGACCGCCTCACCTGGAGCTTCCGCCAGCAGGCCGGCCTGCCCACCGTCGGCGAGCCCTACGGCGGGTGGGAGGCGCCCGACGGCCACCTCCGCGGCCATTTCGTAGGTCAGTCGCCGCCGCCACCTCCGCCCGTCTCATCATCTCTCCATTCCGGCTACATTTCTTGCATTTCATTTGATCATGAAACCGGTGTACGTACGTGTTCGTCCGCAGGGCACTACCTGAGCGCGAGCGCGCACATGTGGGCGAGCACGCACAACGACACCCTGAGGGAGAAGATGGCCAGGGTGGTGGACATCCTCGACGACTGCCAGAGGAAGATGGGCACGGGGTACCTTTCGGCTTACCCCGACGAGGTGTTCGACATGTACGAGGAGCTCTCCGAGGCCTGGTCGCCCTACTACACCATCCACAAGGTCGATCCGCGCATCAAAACAAAAAACACAATCCAACTTTTAGTGTGATTTGGTTCCAGTTATTGACATTCATGTCACTTTACTTACTGTTTTCTGACAGATCATGCAAGGCCTTCTGGATCAGTACACGTTGGCTTCGAATCGAAAGGGCCTTGACATGGTGGTGTGGATGACGGATTACTTCAGCGAGCGTGTGAAGAACCTGATACAGACGCACTCGATCCAGAGGCACTGGGAGGCGATGAACGAGGAGACCGGCGGATTGAACGATGTCATGTATCAGCTGTATACCCTGACGGTAACATCGTACTATCTCATTGCAACTAGTAGTGTTTTGTGATCTTCGTTCAGGTTGTGAACTTGCGGTGTACATATGTATCAAATCCTGACAAGAGCTGTTTTCTATCTCTGCAGAAAGAGCAGAAGCACCTAACGATGGCCCATCTTTTCGACAAACCGTGCTTCCTCGGCCCCCTCAGCCTTCATGTCAGGAGAACTTTGGGTTTCATTTCGATTTCTGAGATTTCGGAAGTTTTAAGCAACGGTTGGGTGATGTCGGCCTTTTTCTTTTCAGGATGATGATATAGCGGGGTTGCATGTTAACACTCACATTCCTGTCCTAGTCGGTGCGCAAAAGAGATATGAAGTCGTCGGTGACCATCTTTACAAGGTAACTTGAAATTTTTCTTAGAATCGTCGATGGACAATGTCATAAGCTTCATCAACTTGTAACTGTGCAACTATCATGTCATGTTACTCATAAAACAGCAAAGAGAAATGACACAGTACCATCCATTTTTCAAAATTTTGGTGAACTGAATACTGGACTAACCCATGGCACAGGACATTGCAACATTCTTCTTTGACGTTGTAAACTCCTCCCACATATTTGCAACAGGAGGCACATCTACCTCGGAACACTGGTGAGCGATAATACTTGCCTCACCATATTTCCGCCTTGCGACATTTCCCCGCTCAAGTTCTTTGCGCATGCCAGGCACGACCCGAAGCGACTAGTAGACGAGATCAAAATCAGCTCCAACGAGGAGACTTGCACCACCTACAACTTGCTTAAGGTCAAGTGTTGCACTCAATCTACCATCACAGGTATTAATAATTCAACAGAAGACAGATTCTGAACTTGCCTTTTGCTGTGCAATATAAATTGCAGGTGTCCCGAAACCTGTTCAGGTGGACGAAGGAAGTCAAGTATGCCGATCACTACGAGAGGCTGCTCATCAATGGGATCATGGGCAACCAGAGGGGAACGCAGCCTGGTGTCATGATCTACTTCCTTCCCATGGGTCCTGGGCGATCCAAGAGCATCAGCGGCGGGCACCCTTCCGGCCTCCCCCCCAAGAACCCCGGGGGGTGGGGAGGTCCAAATGACACCTTCTGGTGCTGCTACGGGACAGGTAAAATTTTCAGTACCCGCGGAAGTGATCTTGCTGCTACTGCTGCTGTTTCTAAATCAAAGATTAAATTGACAATTGACAGGGATAGAATCGTTCTCAAAGTTGGGGGACACCATATACTTCCTGGAGGAGGGTGAAGTGCCGGGGCTCTACATCGCGCAGCACATACCGAGCACCTTCGACTGGAAAGCAGCAGGCCTCACCGTGGTGCAGCAGGCCAAGCCACTGCTGTCGACGGATCCTTACTTTGAAGTCACAATCTCCATTTCTGCCAAGGTAGCTTCTGAATGACACTACCCAGCCATGGTGCTTAGCTGGGCCTGCATCTTCTTTGACCCAAGCAAGAATTAGTGTAACTTTTTTTCATTTGTTTTGCTTTCTAATGCACACAGGGAGATGCCCAGCCAGCAAAGGTGAGCGTGAGGATCCCTTCATGGACATCCACAGCTGACGCAATGGCAACTCTGAATGGCAAAAAACTCAACCTGACATCTGCAGGTAACTTCACTGATGGACTGTACTGATACTTCATACGAGACTGTGAGAGATCCCCATGCTTCAAGCTTGTCTCGTTCTCTCGCAGGTGATTTCCTCACGTTGACAAAACTCTGGGGCGATGATACCTTAGTGCTCCAATTTCCCATTAACTTGAGAACCGAGGCAATCAAAGGTATGAAATTTCAGAGTACAATGTCTGAATCTTTCTGGGCAGACGGTTAGGTGTCTGAACTTAAGAAAAAGTAGTCTGAAACGGTAGTTTTCTTCTGCAGATGACCGGCCGGAGTATGCGTCCATCCAGGCGGTGCTGTTCGGGCCGCACCTCCTCGCTGGCCTGACACACGGCAACAAGACCATTAACGCGACCGAGCACTCCAACGACGGCCTGACCCCGGGCATGTGGGAGGTGGACGCCAGGAACGCCACCTCCACGGCCGACTGGATCGCCGCGCTCCCTCATGAGACGATCAACTCGCAGCTCGTCACCCTGACGCAGCGGTCCGGCGCGCAGACCTTCGTCCTGTCGGTGTCGGCCACCGACGGCACGCTGACAATGGAGCGTATGCCCGTCGCCGGCAGCGACGCGTGCGTGCGCGCCACGATCGTGGTCGACACGTACGTGGTGGACAGCACCGCCGCTGAGCACGGCGCCGCCGCTCCTGTTCTGCATGGGCCGAACGTGACGATCGCGCCGTTCGACAGGCCGGGCATGGCGATCACCAACGGCTTCGAGGTCAAGCTGCATCCAGGGCCGGAGGCCCTGTTCAACGCCGTGCCCGGGCTGGACGGGCTCCCCGGCTCGGTGTCCCTGGAGCTCGGCACCAGGCCAGGGTGCTTCGTGAGGGCGCCCGCGGGCTACAGCGCCGGCGACAAGGCCCAGGTCGGCTGCCGGACGAGCAGCGGCGGCGGCGACGACGCGGCGTTCCGGAAGGCGGCGAGCTTCACGCAGGCGGCGCCGCTGCGCCTGTACCACCCGCTGAGCTTCGTGGCCAAGGGCACGGAGAGGAGCTTCGTGCTGGAGCCGCTGCGGAGCCTCCAGGACGAGTTCTACACCGTCTACTTCAACCTGGTCACCGCCGCCGCCGACAGCTGAAACGTGCTGCTGAACTGACGACCCATGTGCAGACAGACCAGAGCTTCAGAGAGTGGCGGCAGTCTGGCTCTGGCTCTGGCAGTGGCAGTGGCAGAGACATGTGCCACGGCCACACAATTACTACCTGTACTGTTGGAGCAGCATCTCCCATCACCAAAACAATATTAACGCTGTTGCATGTTCCTCGAGTGAAAACAGTGCTGTGTGCCATGCATCTCGGTGTGAGATCGGCCCGTGTCTGTGTGATGTGGTTGAGATTTCTCGAGGTTGGCCAGGATCTTGATCCATGCACCTTTCATTCATGCCGCGTCGCCATAAGTGTCGTCCTGTTAGGTGCACATATATGGTAGCATTATTGTTCATGTGGACGTGTGGTACAATCTTCGATATGTAGGCATATGG